ATCTGGTGTAACCTCTACCAACTGCAATAACATCCCTGACCCTCGTCCTCATTGACTTCATCAGACGCTGAATTTAAGGTTGAGTTATTACGTTCCATTCTTGGTGGAGGGCTTGCTCCAAAACATCGACACATTGTACTGAAGGACCTCTCCGGCGTACTCTGCGACCCATAATGTCCCAAACATGCGTTATGGGATTGAGATCCTGACTGCTGGTGGGCCAAGGAAGACTTGCTGCCAGCTGAGCTTGTGTTCCGGGGATGGTCATCGGAATGTATCTAGAATGTTAATAATGTGCAGTTGCCCATTCAGATTCTGTCTGACTGTCACAAGGTAGCGTTTACAGTCACGTGAGGGGCACTCCCACGATCAATGAACACTCACTAAACGGTACTTGCTCAAAGATATCCCTGTTTTTATATGCAGTGTTTATAGGGCACCAGACACTAACTCGGCCACTAGTCATGAACAACAAAAGAAATTACTCAAGTCTGACCAGTGGGCCCTTCCCATGATCTTAAATTCCACTGACGTCGAGCTTGACACGAGTCTCGATTATCTGCCAGATTCCTTTGTGTGCGAAACAGCAAAGTGATTTAAAATTTACAAAGGGCAAAGTTGATAAAACATAGTAGAGGCAAGATATGCATGACGACTTCTTTAATCTATTACGACGAGACGTTTCGATGAGATCTTTATACCGTTGTATATGACTCATGTTTGACAATGTTATAAGGATCTGTACTGACACGTCGCATCATACCACACAGAGAAGTCGTCATCCGTGCACTACATTGCATTTACTGCTAGTCTGCACAGTCACGCATAAAATACATTCTACCAGCTATATTTCATAAACATATGTGGTAGCCACTATGTAGAAGGTATGTTGTTACCATTTTACCTACCGCTGGTGTAGTGGTTAGAGCGTCCGCCCGGAGAGAGGAAGGTCGCGGGTTCGATCCCCGACCGCGTCATACCTAAAGACGATAAACTATGGTACTTGTTGGTCCCTGCCTGGCGCTCGGCATTAATGGGTACAACAAGGACTGGTCGGCTCGGAGTCAGTATAATGTGTCTGAGTGGGATATTCTCAAGCACGACGTTAAACCCAATTTCATGTCACCTCACCTCACCATTTTACCTACCCTTGTTAATCAACATCTTGTATGCAAATTGACGCTTGAAGATACAAGCTAGAACTAGTCGTCAGCAACCCATGACTATCGTAAGAGGCAACTGACGGGATCAGGTGGTCTGCTGACCTTTTTTGACACATGTCATCGTATCACAATTGCGTATATCGATGGTCATAATGTTGATCACTGGATTGTCTGGTACAGACTCGATGTTTTGACAGACCGACTTCATATAGTTGGAATATTGCTGAGTGCGGCGTTAAACAATAAATACACAACAAATTGATGCTACTGTCATCCTTCACCTGCTCTGTACAGTGTTTTGTCATGTTCGTTCTAGTTGTCTAGATGTCAATAGCATATGAATCTGTAATGAAACATCTCCACAGGGTCATTAAGTTGTTAGCAATAAACTGTGCCGAGGTGTCCTACATTGTACATTGTAGAACACATGTACTCAACAACAGACTTCTTCTCATTGTTTGGCTGAGGTAATCAACCTAGAAGAAAGTGTTTTATATAGGAATTGCATTGTTTGCTCCCAATGAGCTCAAAATATCAGAGAACTTCATGTAATTACTCCCCGTCTTCTTTTCCACTCCCTTGCAGCATAAGGACGCGGGTCAGTTCGTTCCCAGGTAATCAACTATTTATACAACATTGGTTTTATGGCACATTGGGCAGTTTGTACGAAGTAAAGACAACGTAAGAGTTTTTGAAATGTCAAACGTCTACCCATTTAGGACAGTCAGGTCTGTGGTTTGTCACATGTCAATGATAAAAGACCCTGTAAACAGGGGAAACATGTTTGCATGCAACTGTTTGGCCACGTTCTATGTCTACCATCAAGATAATCCATTAATTCTAGACATATCCGTGTCACGGTAATGCTCTAATCTGAAATGGACAACAACACAGGCTGGTTAATAACATCCGGCAAAACTCATGTCACTGACAGGTTGACACTTATCTTCATGTCAGTCAACACAGCATGACCTTGAACGTCTATAAGGACGCTTAGCACTCGATGCGTCTGTTTTTCAAATGGAGATGTGTCTGAGATACAATTTCCAGTCCAGTTAACCTTCGAGCTGACATGATTAATGATTAATGCAACCTCATATTTCGATGTTTGTACTGATAAGATATTTTATTTCAGATCGGTAGGCACCATCATCCCGTGTTCGTGAGTTGATGAGCATAAAAGCATCCTTCCCCTTGTGAAAATATGGTCCAGTGGAGACGTTTACCGAAAGGACTATAATCAGAACTCTAGCGTTAGAAGGTCATTGGATCCTGGTCAGCTTCAGAACATATCGAAATTGCTCCACTGTACATTGAACCACCAATACCCCATGTTTATACCGTATATGATAGTCGATTATCAGCACATATATTTACGTGACTTCGTATCACATGTTTGTTTTTTTCATGTTTATAGTTTACTTCCTTTATGTTTAATTTGAATAAAATAATGCATATAATCAGGATAAATATCGATTTTAAAAGTGACAGTCTTTTATTTAAAATACACTGCTTTGGGGATCATATTAGAGTGTTTTGCTCGGTGATGAATCATTCTATAATAATACTTTATTGCCCGACAAAGGAATTCCTTTTACAACAGTGAGACATACAGCATGGTTAAAACAAATTAAGCAAAGGACAACGATCACCTTAAACACACAAATAAACAGGATGAGAAGGATAACCAGTGTATACTGTAAGAGACTAGTAGTCAAATACATATAAAATTGTGGCTGGGTCTAACTGGGTAAGCGACATTCCCACACCATCTGCTAGTTTTCAACCTGAGAGATCGCGAGAACGCGAAAATGTCCCCTACGGTATTTAAATTCCATAGGTTCCTAAATACTTTCAAGAGGGATTTGATTTGAGGTTTGAGATACATGAATATATACTGAGAGACACAAATAAAGGAACACAGGAAAGTTCAAGCGTTCCTTTAATATTTTCCACTTTTCATCACCAGCTTTGCATAGCACTGTGGGAGGAATCTGAGCAAATAAACCTGGAACACTGCCATGAAGTGCTGTTCCCTTATTTGTTCCCCTCAGTATATAATTCAACTCCGTCTGATTATCACATATGGAAAGTATATAATACATAGGACTCTACTTTCGAACATTTCTGGGAGGTCAATATGTATAGAGCGAATAGCGGGTAGTCCACGAAAGAAATAGCGTCCCTTACTCGTGCCAGGATCCGCTTATGAAAAAGAAATAGATTTTCAAATTATGATCAATGGCCTTCACGTTGCTCGTAGGCTTCGTAAAAATTGTACATGAATTCGCATTAATTGTAAGATCTTTTCTTGTGCGACCAATAAGACCGCCTCATCTGTTTCACAGTTAGATCTTCCCATAAAGATACAGAGTGACATATAACTCTCCATAAGACTGACTGAGTAATGATTTCAACTTCACAATATAGTCAGTACTCCTGCAGCTCCAGACTTACATGGAGGTGTTTACATTTCACAACTTTGAGGAACATTCGAGCTTGCTCCTTTTACCAGGATTTCAAAGAGCATCACACGACTCTTCTGCGACGTTGGTTCTTCAAGGTTACAACATCAAAGGCCTCAGCGAAGCTTTCAGCAAGTTTTATGGTAGACATGTGGAGTACATTTCCGAATGTGACGCATCAGGTACGAAACTATTCCTATTTTGACGCACCATATATTCCCGTATGTTTCAGGTGATATATTGACTAGTCTTTACATTTCTTTATGACACCGCTGGGTCCGGGTCCTTCCACCTTTCCGAGAACACCTGGTGTCATCAACATTTGATGGTAATTTATAAGCACATGGTCATTTTATAGTCGGAATAGTACAATCTACTCTGCTTTCCGAAGAGATTTTTATGGATGTGCAAAGGTAATAAAACATACAACTTTTTGTGAAACATGCTATATTTGGGATTACATCTTCTCAGTAAAGTACAGATTCTAGTGCTTTTGTTGGGTTGTGTCCCATCCGGGATTCGAACCCACACCCTCAGAGTCAGGCACCTAATCGCCGTGCCAATTTACACTACATGCTGTTGTTAATGTTAATCCGATGTTTGTCACAACACGCTATGTATATATGTTACAGGAAATATGTATAATCAGTAAATATGTATAATTACTGAAAATTTCAGTAATTATGTATAATATCTTATTCACTCAGGAATTATGTATATTTACTGAAATTTTCAGTAATTATACATAATTCCTGAAATTTAAGAAACAAAATTTTACATATTTACTGAAATCATTTGAATTACTAAAATATTGATATTGCTTTTAAAATCAGTCAGATTTTCATAGATATGTCTTCTTATGGTATATAAAATACAGTAGGATCAAAGGTTGAGTGTAGTTCAGTCACAACATAATTATACTTATTTATCGAAAAGCATGGTCTTCACGGTATTCAAACAATAAAAGGTTTCAAGCATTTTTAGTAAGAAATACATGTTAAATTATTGAAATCATAACAGCAGGATCAAAGGTTAAGTGCAGTACAGTCAAAACATAATTAATTATTGAGTCACATACTTAATTATCGAAAAAACATGGTCCTCACGGTATTCATTAACAAGCCCCTGAGGTCCCTAGACGGGAGGATATGGACAACGCTAATAGCCTTCAAACAATACAGGGTTTTGAAGCATTTTTTGTAAGAAATACAAGTTAAATTATTGAAAACACGGTCTGTAAATACAATACAGCAGGGTCAAAATGCAGTACAGTCACAACATAATAATAGTTAATTATTGAAAACAAATTAACATAATTAGCATCACATCAGTATGAATGTTGGTAAATTTTGATCTGCTTCACTTTCCAAACATGGATCACGAGAAGATTTTCCGAGAAGGACTTTTCAAGATTTATGAGACGAACAAACGTGTTTTGATACCAAAGGAAGAATACTATAAGATCATCAGCGACCTCCTAGAAGTATCCAAGACCTCCAAGAAGACTCCCCATCAGTACTATATTCTTAAGAAGTATGAAGTTCTTCAGTGTGGTGACATTAACAGACTGATAAGAAGAAGTCAGCATGAAGAAGAAACACCCCTGTACTTCATTTCCATAGAAGAGACCTATGAAGTTGTCAAACGGGGTCACATTGCAACGGGCCATGGGGGACAGGACAAAATGGTTCATGAACTGTCCAAGAAGTACGCAAACATAACCATTGAAGCATTGACCGTCTTCAAGAACTTGTGTGTTGAATGCCAGCGGAAGCGTAAGAGAGCTGCAACAAAAGGGATTGTAGTAAAGCCAATCATCTCCAAAGACTTCAACTCCAGAGCACAAGTCGATCTTATCGACAATCCATGACTCAAGGACAGTTCAAATGGATCATGGTGTATCAAGACCATCTGACTAAGTTTTATGTATTGCGGCCCCTGACTTCTAAACGCGCAGCAGAAGTGGCGTATCATCTTCTTGACATCTTCCTCCTCTTAGGTGCCCCATGCGTTCTTCAAAGTGACAATGAATCTGAATTTACTGCCCAGGTTGTTTCTGAGCTGAAGATTATGTGGCCAGCATTGGTGATGGTACATGGAAAACCAAGACAAGCCCCAAAGTCAAGGTTCTGTAGAAAGGGCAAATGTTGACATCAAGGATGTGCTTGTTGCTTGGATTGGTGATAATGATACAAGTGATTGGACTGCGGGACTAAAGTTCGTTCAATTTCAGAAGAACTCCAGTCATACCGGAATCAAGCGATCTCCATTTGCGGCGCTGGTAGGGTCTGACGTTCGCACTGGATTGACATCAACTAGCTTGCCGACTGATATCCTTCACCGGTTGCAGTCAGAAGACAATTTACTTGCTGCCTAAGGAATTCATGCCACTACAGCATCGACAACTGAACCTGCTCAAGAGAATATCTCTGAGGAATCTGACACTACTGCTTGAAAATCGTCAACAATTGAACCTGCTGAGGAGATCATCTCTGAACTGAACACTACAGCGTCACATGATGAACCTAAGACTACTGAAGAGAACAGTCAACTAGATGCCATTTCATCCAACCAAGAAGCCATTCAGCTCCATTCGTAGATTGAAAACGAAGTAAGAATTTACACCGGAACGTCGCTCTGTGCAATAAACATGAAGTTGTTATCCATATGCTTTATTATTGACTCACTAACTTCTAGAACGCCGATCAAGCAATTAGATGTGCAAAGGGTTTCTTATGTGACAAATATTTGTTCAAAACGGCATTTTAACAAGTGAATGAGTGAGTGAGTTGGGTTTTACGCCGCTTTTAGCAATATTCCAGTTAATATCACGGTTCGGGACATCTGAAATGAGCTTCACAAATTGTGTCCATGTGGGGAATCGAACCCGGCACTTTGGCGTGACGAGCAAACGCTTTAACCACTAGGCTACCCCACCGACCCTATTTTTACGACCGGTCACTCAAAATGCAGTTTATAAAAACATTACTTTAGTTAAACATTTTCCTGTTTTCCAAGACAAAGAGAATTATCCTTTTGTGCGCATCAGAACAAGATCGGTTTTAGATTAAGTGTTTTTTCTGAAGGGCACAAACGGAGATTATATATACATATGTCAGCAATAGTATTTAACCACGACCGTAGTCACAAAATCATTAAACAAAAGAGCATAAAAAAATGAGATCAGGTTGACGAGATTTCGCTGTTATTATTCAAGTGATTTATTTGCAGGTAAATCATTTAATTATCTGGGTACGAGAATGGATTGCTGTTTCAAAACAAAGGCCTGTTCAGGATATATCATAAGGTCAGATATATTATTCCTGCCTGATGTTTTAAGAGTACATCGTCCTCCTTCTTGTGACTTTACTTGACAACCGATTGCCATCCGATTGAGAATATGTGCGTCAATAACTTCATCGAGTGAATCGAGAGTAAATAAAAACGACAACACATTTTCCGTGTTCATGGAGATACAATAGGACACGCAAATAACCACATGAATTGAAAATTGAATCAGAAACGACAAACATTTCCATAATTATCAGCAATCTCTTCGTAAAGCAGCTTCATTGTATAATACTATATAATATTAAAACGCAGGAGATATTCAATAAAAGGTGTCATACGTATTGGTGTTTTACATATTTAGTGAGATAAATAGTTTAACGGTATAACAGGGACATCTGACTGAGAGTTACTTATGTCGCTGAACATCAGATGACCATAGTTTTTGTTAGATGATAGACCAAAGCTCCCTACTGTTCATGTCGTCATTTACAAGTCATAATCCTTAATAACGTGTGAATCCGCCGCTATTCTCCAGACAATCCTGGATTTCAACGGGGGCATACTCCTAATCGAACGAACGTTCATAGTGAACTTGGTTCATTCAACTTCCTGATATTCTTAGCAATATCACTTCTGGGACACCAGAAATGGGCTTCACACTTTGTACCCATATGGGGAATCGAACCCCGGATCTTTGGCATGGCGAGCGAACGCTTTAACCACTAGGCCCCAGTAACAATGCGAGCCGTGTGTGTTCTTGCTTTGCTATTCTGAAACACAATGATGTCATTGTCGGAGCACAAATGGCACCACGGTTACAAATCGTCTGTCCACTCACTTTAACACCTGTAGCTGTGTGAAGCTCAATTTAAGAGGCATTTTGAACACGGTTTCGTAACAGTCGAGCTGATGAAACGGTCTTGTGTTCCAGTTGTCACCCTTGGTTGACCAGATCGACGTTATTTGTCTGTTGATATTGTGATTGTAATCTGCAAAGTACAATCATGTCACGTTTGTAACTTTCGAATTTTACCTCGAGAATGGTATGCATGTACACAGCTGGTTTAATATATGGCTAAATGAATGTATGACTAAATGTATGTAGCTCCTGCCACAATCATCTGTCTTGTTCCAACCTCGTGTCAATTGCACGTAGCTGTCGCTGACGTCACAGACAGTGTAATTAAATATAAAGTAATATTTGAACAACTTTCAGTCTAGAGTACAGCAATGCACTGACACGTTTCACTTTTGTAACTTTCGAATTTTACCTCGAGAATGGTATACATGTACACAGATGGTATAATATATGTCTAAATGAATGTATGACTAAATGTATGTAGTATTATGTCACAATCTACAATATACTCCAATGTTTTGATCAGAACATACTTTACGATGTACGTAAAGGTATATATCACACAAGAATCTGATCTACATATACTTTGCAATGTAAAAAGGTCTATATTACTCAAGGTTGTGATCAACACATACTTTGCAATGTACATAAGGTCTATATTACTCAAGGTTGAGATCAACACATACTTAACGATGTACATAAGGTCTATATTACTCAAGGTTGAGATCAACACATACTTAACGATGTACATAAGGTCTATATTACTCAAGGTTGTGATCAACACATACTTAACGATGTACATAAGGTCTATATTACTCAAGGTTGTGATCAACACATACTTAACGATGTACATAAGGTCTATATTACTCAAGGTTGAGATCAACACATACTTAACGATGTACATAAGGTCTATATTACTCAAGGTTGTGATCAACACATACTTATCGATGTACATAAGGTCTATATTACTCAAGGTTGTGATCAACACATACTTAACGATGTACATAAGGTCTATATTACTCAAGGTTCTGATCAACACATACTTATCGATGTACATAAGGTCTATATTACTTAAGGTTGTGATCAACACATACTTAACGATGTACATAAGGTCTATATTACTCAAGGTTGTGATCAACACATACTTTGCAATGTACATAAGGTCTATATTACTCAAGGTTGAGATCAACACATACTTAACGATGTACATAAGGTCTATATTACTCAAGGTTGTGATCAACACATACTTAACGATGTACATAAGGTCTATATTACTCAAGGTTGTGATCAACACATACTTATCGATGTACATAAGGTCTATATTACTCAAGGTTGTGATCAACACATACTTATCGATGTACATAAGGTCTATATTACTCAAGGTTGTGATCAACACATACTTATCGATGTACATAAGGTCTATATTACTCAAGGTTGAGATCAACACATACTTAACGATGTACATAAGGTCTATATTACTCAAGGTTGTGATCAACACATACTTAACGATGTACATAAGGTCTATATTACTCAAGGTTGTGATCAACACATACTTATCGATGTACATAAGGTCTATATTACTGAAGGTTGTGATCAACACATGCTTTACAATGTACATAAGGTCTATATTACTCAAGGTTGAGATCAACACATACTCCAACGATGTACATAAGGTCTATATTACTCAAGGTTGTGATCAATACATACTTATCGATGTACATAAGGTCTATATTACTCAAGGTTGTGATCAACACATACTTAACGATGTACATAAGGTCTATATTACTCAAGGTTGTGATCAACACATACTTATCGATGTACATAAGGTCTATATTACTCAAGGTTGTGATCAACACATACTTATCGATGTACATAAGGTCTATATTACTCAAGGTTGTGATCAACACATACTTATCGATGTACATAAGGTCTATATTACTCAAGGTTGTGATCAACACATACTTAACGATGTACATAAGGTCTATATTACTCAAGGTTGAGATCAACACATACTTATCGATGTACATAAGGTCTATATTACTCAAGGTTGTGATCAATACATACTTATCGATGTACATAAGGTCTATATTACTCAAGGTTGTACTCAACACATACTTCTCGATGTACATAAGGTCTATATTACTGAAGGTTGTGATCAACACATGCTTTACAATGTACATAAGGTCTATATTACTCAAGGTTGTGATCAACACATACTTAACGATGTACATAAGGTCTATATTACTCAAGGTTGTGATCAATAAATACTTAACGATGTACATAAGGTCTATATTACTCAAGGTTGTGATCAACACATACTTAACGATGTACATAAAGGTCTATATTACTCAAGGTTGTGATCACACATACTTAACGATGTACATAAGGTCTATATTACTCAAGGTTGTGATCAACACATACTTAACGATGTACATAAGGTCTATATTACTCAAGGTTGAGATCAACACATAGTTATCGATGTACATAAGGTCTATATTACTCAAGGTTGTGATCAATACATACTTATCGATGTACATAAGGTCTATATTACTCAAGGTTGTGATCAACACATACTTATCGATGTACATAAGGTCTATATTACTCAAGGTTGTGATCAATACATACTTATCGATGTACATAAGGTCTATATTACTCAAGGTTGTGATCAATAAATACTTAACGATGTACATAAGGTCTATATTACTCAAGGTTGAGATCAA